CTCACGAAAGCCTTAAATGACATTTAAATGATGACTAAAAAACTGATTGTTATTCTCTATGAAATGAGATGTAAATTAACAAATTTATTGAGACTATAATTATTATACTATTAAATATTACAAAAAATAGTTTACAAATGAATTAAGTTTATTGTTAATAATAATAAATCTACAAATAAAATGATTGTAAAATAAAACAAAATGTAATAAAAAGTCAAACATAACATAAAAATGCGAATTAAAATAAAAGAGATTTTAGAAGAATTAAAAAGAAATACTAATGAATTGATTGTAACTATTATTTGTCAAACGAAATGGTGTCGAAAAAGCCAAGAGTTTTGATAACCATAGGAATAATCGGAAGAATTGTTGATTCGAGACAAGAGATTCTCAATTGAAACGAAACGATACAACAGTCGGAAGTGAAATAATATGTGTGTTATTCACTCATAACAACCAAATGCTTAATATCCAAGACTATAATCGCACGGTTACTGTATTACTGCTATTCACTGCCCATACAATTGGTGTTGTGAAGAAACTTTTAGACTTTATTATTGAAGTTATTTTTCTCTGATAACAATTAATTATATTATTGCGTTGAGAGATGTGTTTAGGCGTTGGTTTGTTAGCTCACAGATACACACCGTTTACTTGGTTCTCGCCTTAATATACTTAACATTGTTTATTAAACGACAGTTAATTGTAATTTTGTATACTATTTTTGTCACACCATTACTGTCTCCGCTAAGACATGAGTCGTTTCACAAATGTGGGTAACTTTGCGGCCGTCGGCTGGTGTTCGGCCGGCGTTGGACTGTTAGGTATGAACTGAATTGTGTGAATATTTGTGCGATATATGTTTAAATAGGTTACAGGTATTTATGAAATATACATTTACATGCCTTTCTCTCTCGCACCCAATATTCAGGCCTAATATTCATGATCGCCGGCGCCGTTATCACAGGAATCGCTTACACAGAGATTACTCCACCAAATTATGATGTAAGTCAACGGCATTTAATAAGAAACAATTTTAAAAACATAATTAAAGTTATAAATTAATACATTTATAATTAATAACAAAAAATAAAACTTTTTTTTTCCTAATTTCAGGAAAACTATAACAGATATCTGGGCGCAAGTGTTCCCCGTTTAGTGGGTTAGTAAACCTTTTGGCACTTAATTAACTGTCCGTTAAATGAAGCCATTAGTGGGCGATTTGAGTGATTGATTGCGGTGTTTAATGAATGTATACCATTTTACTACAATGACCAGGTCCGTTTTTGTTATGTTTCGGTGCGATCCTATTGTTCGGCTCGTGTGCCTTCTTTGGTCTGGCCTTTTATCACGCGAACAGAGAGTATGACTCCAACGGAAGCACCAGTAGATATCAATATACGGCCGCCTCGTCTACCGGTGACAACGGGAAGGCCAACGCTTAACCATTGGATCCCATGTATGAAGTTATGGACAATTATATATCTCCACCTTTTTGTACAGCATTTTTCAATCGGCGGCTCAGTTTTGATCATTATTTAATACGAGTGTTATCTTCGCTTAATATTACGAAAAAGTATATTTTTAGTATTCATTTATTTTTGTTTAAATACATAACTTTAATGTATTATTGATATTCTTACGATATTTTATTCTGTGACTATTCATCACAAGCTTTTTATTCGTATTTTAAATTTTTATAAAAATTTCCATTAAAATAAAGTTTTAAATCCCAAGTTTTAAAGTGTTATTACGTGATTAAATGTAGGATTAAATGAAGTCATAAATTGAACAAACATTGTATGAATAAAATGATTTAAAATAATCAGAAATAAGAGTTTTTTGAATCAAATTTTGCAATAAATGATTGATTTATAGATTTTATTATTTTTGTTGTCTATCGATTGGCATCGACTCTATACTGACGTTACGTTTCTATTTATGTTTTTATTAATAACTTTTGTTTAACATTAATGAGTAATTATCCGCAAAAATTTAGCAATAAATGAGTCCATGTTTTCAATATTTATAAATTAAGATAAATTATATCTTAATTATCATAATTTAGTGATTAATATATAACTCGAAGCCATTCATTAAAGCGGAAAATATAATGGAAAAAATTGTATATGAAAAATAATTTACACATTTTTCATACTAATAAAAGTCTTCATAAAATGTTGAAAACCATATTTAGGAAACGATTTGTTGGGATTAAATCGACAGCAAAAAAGTCAAAAATATCCTTTGGATCCCTAAAAATATGGTGAATGGTTTCAAACCATATATTATAGTATTATTCCTCTTGAATAGAGTGGTGTAAGGATTGTATTGGAATTTAGGACATATTCTTCAGACGTTCATCGACTGTAAGCCTCAATAAATTTTATTGAATTTAATTTAATATAAAATCGATATTTTCTGCGACCGACTTATATGTTGGAGAATANGCGGCCGTTCATATAACACACGCCACGAGTGTAACCGATGTGGAGGATAACGACGAGCAGACAGTAATCCACGAGCCATTAGCCCATTCCGTGTCGCGCGAGAGTACGTCCGTATTGAGTATATCGGAGTACTTCGACGCCGAAGAGAACCTCTCGGCCTGTTCTACGTCTACAGAGGATGAGGACGAAGAGAGTCTGGCCACTGATCTCAGCGACGACGGCACCGAATACAGGCATTTGTCCAAAACTTCCATCGATAATATGTCGATCGCCAACACCACTGGTCGGCGATCCAAACTGCCAGCCCCTCAGCCCGACACAGGTATTCATTATTGGTTTGCATTGAATTGATTTGATAACTATATTGAAATTGTTTGTATTATATTTCAGGCGATGTCTCGCTTTGGAGTCTTTTATGTAAAAATATAGGCAAAGATTTGTCAAAGATCTCAATGCCGGTCACAATTAACGAGCCGTTGAATGTATTGCAACGCCTCTGCGAAGAGCTCGAGTACAGCGATCTCCTCGACAAAGCGGCCTTAATTGAAGACAATCGCCAACGAATGCTACAAATCGCCGCTTTCGCCGTCTCTTCCTACAGCTCCGCCTACTATAGGGCCGGACACAAGCCATTCAATCCACTGCTCGGCGAAACATACGAGTGTATCCGCGAAGACAAGGGTTTCAGATTCATATCAGAACAGGTCAGTCATCATCCGCCGGTGTCTGCCTGTTGGGCCGACTCTGATAACTACATCTTCTGGCAGGGTATGAGTGCTCCCAAAGTTGTTCACTTCAAACCATTTGATTAATTGTTTGGTTTTTTTTTGGTTAGATATGAGAATTAAGAGTAAATTTTGGGGCAAATCCATGGAAATAATACCGTTCGGAACGGTTCACGTGCTCTTAAAGCCCTTCAACGCTCACTATCGGTGGAATAAAGTGACCACTTGTGTACACAATCTGTTCAAAGGCCAGCGTTGGGTCGATAACTACGGAGAGTTGACGATAACGGACGGCGAGTTGACGTGTCGGCTCACGTTTG